CAAGCATATGTCCTGTTATGATATTTAACCTCCCTGGTTTTTGTTTCCTACCTGCACAGTGAAGCTGACAATATCAACCCCCAGGGTTACTGTGAGAAGTCAACAATGTTATGGACATACCATTCCCTGGCACATGGGAAGCTGTCAGTGCCTTACCCTCCACCACTCTCCATACATATTGCTCCCTAGGTCACTCTGAGGTCCACATTAAGTCACCCTTGCTATGACACAGAGCCCTAGCTTAACAACAGCGTTCTTATTTGTTCTTTGTCAATAGAATTCGCTTTTACCCAAGAGTTCTTGACTTTGCAAATGGGCTTCTCCTATAGTCCCTGATCCTATGTTCCAGTGAAAGGAAACTATTCTCCCAGGGACTTCCAAGTATTACTTCCTGGATATACCCAGGACCTTATTTCAGGCTCTGCTTATGTGGAAACAGACCTAAGCAAGGTGGTATCTATATCTATGGGGCAATCACTCAGACTTCACTCTGAGTGTTCTTTTCATGGTTAATAAACCACTAAGTAGCTGTCTGCATTTATCCTCCAGATTGCCTTTATTTATGCCCTCCTTACTGACCTGCCAAATACATCTCACAACATCATTTCCTCTTCTCTCCTAGTTGCCTCAGAGTCCCTGCAAGAAGTCCCAGGGTTCCTGTGTACATCAGTTTTCAGACACAGTCTAAATAAATACTGCAAGTATTTTTATAAGTATCATAATTCATTTGAAACCACTAATTACTAATTCACAGTTCTCCTTTTCAGAACTTATTTTTCTTATCAATAGGTACAAATAGTACAACCACTATTTTTATCCAAATAGCATCAATTTGGAGATCCATTAAATACTTGAACGTAAAAAAGGAGTTTTCATACACAGACAGTTTGGACACTCCAGCTCTACGTGACAGAAATAGTGTGGAAGACAGTGTGGGAGTAGACATAACTTCAGAAACCTCCCTTAAACCTGTTGTGAGCACTTTTCGGGGCTCTGAAAGACCTTCATTGACAATTCCAAAGCCACCTTAGAGGTGTAGACCCAGGATCCTAAACCGAATTTAATGCCATAAACAAACTATAATAAGAACTACTGGAATCTGGTCCCCAAATAAAGCCGTCTGCTAAACTAGAGGATTTTACAGCAGATTCTTTTGGCTGTTTTGCCAGCTTTGTTTCTATAGTCACACTACAAGTGTTGATTTTTTTCTAGCATAAATTCCCAATATATTTGCTGTTGGTGGCAGACTGTACTTCCTGTACGTCTCTAATCTGTAAAATGGGATACTGCTACTGACTCCAGAGGGCTAGTTGGAGGTTTATGTGAGACAAAAATCTGTGAACGTGTTCAATCAATGTTAGTTGCTGCTGAAGTAGAATACCTGTCCTTTTTGCCAGATACCACATTTTTATATCATCAACCCAGTTCCCCATTTCTACGATCTTCCTAATTTGTCCCAAGGCAATAGCATCGTAAAACCTTGAGCTCTTCTGCCCAATTGCACTCTTTTCCTGTTAAGATCTCATAGCCACCAATGGTATCTAATCAGGTACCGTTAATATGGAGATCATTTTCTTTGATTCATCTGTTACAAGAAGAAGCTATGTATATTTATGAATAATCAGAGAGTTGGCATGAATGAACCTGATGAAAGCAGTTTATGAAATTATTGGCTCTTTCCTTTCCTTTGATCCACACATAGATTCAGTTACAAGCCCTATTGATTTGCCTCAAATGGCTCTCACATCTGTCCCTCCCCTCTGGGCCAATTGCCACCCTTCTAGATCAATCTCAATGATCTCTGTCACATCAGCAGCCTACCTGGTTTTTCTTCCTTTTTTTTTTTGCCAACTTCAAATCCATCTTTACACCACTCCCAGGTCAATATACCAAATCCCAGTGCAGAGTATGTTTTACTTTTTTTCAACAAGGAAGCAAAATCACCAGAAAGACCGGAAGAGGACATACAATTGTTAGTGGTTTAAAAAAAAAAAAAAAAAGAATCATTTCCTTAAGATGCCAGTTGCTAAGGAACTTTAAAGTCCAAGAACAGGAGAGGTAAGTGAGAATCACTTGAGAGGCTCTTATAAGTGATACATTCAAATACTCTCTTGTAATCGGTTCTCACTTTACCCGCACAATGTAATTTTCCATAATCAACCTGAGTCTAATAAAGGACTGTCTCCTTCCTGTCTCACTTACAGTTATATTTCATGTTATAATGATTGTCCATCACCTGCAACTAAACCGTGAGCTCCTCAAGAGCTGGTGCAGCACCTTGTCCATTTCTGTATTTCCAGCAACTAGCACAGGGACTGACATATGCTAAGTGCTTAAAGAATGAATGGGCACAGGTAAATATCACATGGGAGACTAAGAAATTGTTAAAGAAATAATGAACAACTCATGGGAAGTATTCAGTGAGAAGTAAATTTGGAGTTGGGTCTTGACAGACAACTAGAAGCTTCCCAAACAAAGGGAAGAAAATTCTGGGTAAAGAGAACAGTGTTTAAAAGCTAATTTCTGTTTCCTAGCCTCCAAGAGATAATCTTTGGACCTAAAGATGGTGTACTTCCAGTACTGAATGCCACAGGGCAAAAACAGGCAGCATGAACTGCCTTCTGCAGAATGATGACTATATTTAAATACTTTTAATCCAAAAAGAAAACTAGATTCTTATACTAGATAGAGTTCCTGCCTATAAGCAAAAGGCCCTAAACTTCCTGAAATCCAAGGTGGAATGGCTCTAAGGCTGAGCTGCCTAGGTGTGTGAATATGGATTTCTGAGGCCCATCAGTAAAAAAAAAATAAACCACATGTGCATATACAGACTCACAATGTGCTTATTCAAACAAAACTCAACTAAATAAACCAGCTTCCTTGAATACTGTTTCAATTTGAAGCAAAAACTTTCCCCAGCCTCCCCAGGCACGAGGCTGGAATTGAGTAAATGAGTCTCACACATAATGAGACCTCCAGGTACCTGTTATCTGCATCCTCCCAGCCCCAGGGTGACTCTCAGAATATCTTCAGGGAGTGGCCCCCAGAAGCCCAGTTGCCTGATCCTGGGAGAGCATCTTCTCTGGCTTCAAAGACTTCCACACAAAGGGGTTGTCAAGAATGCCTGTGACTCTTAAACCTGACTACATTCCTAGTAGAATGTGTTTATCCTCTGCCTGTTCATTCTCAGGTCCTGCTGTAGCCCTCTTGGTCACCTTGCTCACCTTGCTTACCCTGTGCCTATCCATTGTGGCCAAGGGAGCCTGACATTTCAATCTTTACTCCTCGGCCTCCTCCAGCCCAGCTCTCCTGTTGTACATCAGTGCTAGGCAGAGTCATGCGAGTGTTCTTTGGAAAAAGGACTGAAATGGGGCTCATTACCTATGGCTGACTTGATTGTCAGCTCCTATCACAGCTGGACAAGTCTTCATAAGCTATATTTGCTCTTCTTTCCTTCTATTTCATTTGAAGAATTGTAGGCTTCCAAGAGTGGGGAGGATGCTAACCAGATCATAATAGCCGTTCTTCTACCTCAAGACAAACAAGTTTCAGACAGATCAGATTATATTTTAGCCATGTGTTCCTCAATAGGAACTCTATTGGTATTTGGAATAGGGCAATTCTTCCTTGGGCAGAACCACCACAAGTACTGCAGGACATTTCACATCGTGAATGGCCAACAGCTTCTGTGCTCACTATTATAACAGTTAAAAACTCTGCCAGGCACTTCTGATTTCACCACAGAGGTGCCATACCACTGTGTGGGTGGACTACTGCATAGCTTTTGTTCAGAAGCCTCACAGAAGACAAATGTCTTTAGATATATATTTTAGTATCAAATGATTTTCTTTGTTGGAAAATATTCTCTATTGCAGCTTTACTTTCTTTTTAGCATTCTTAGTGTAAATGATTAACAGCTGGTCATCAACTTCTTGTAAATAGATTTTTATGAACTTGAAGAAAGTCTCCATGCGTACTACCCTTCATCATTGATGTGATTTACTTTATGCAAAAATTCTCTTTCTGAATATGCATAAGCAAATCAGAATATAATTTAAATACCCTACAGAAGCTTACTGTTTAAAGAGATAAAAATATGAAATATTACATAAATTGAACTGATCCCCTTCCTTCAACAAAATGATGTATCTATGGTGTAGCTGTTTTTTATATTCAGGGTCTGCTTTTGCTTTAGGTGAGGGACACTTAAATTTGCTGTATCTTTCCTGATACAATTGTTTATTTCTGCAGAGTGGGTGTAGGCTTACTTACAAACTGTATTGGCTATATATTTGCCTTCTAGTTTAGGGAAGGTAAAGATGTAGCATATGTGAATCAGTGTTGTGAACTGTCAGCAGACTTCCATCACTCAGACAGAAGTGGGGAGAGGGCGGTGGTTGGCTAAGCTTTGCCTTTTTCTTCTTGAAGACAAGATGAGCCTTTGTACTTTGCTTCTACTTCTTAAAGGATGTACAAGAGGGATGATTCATAGTCTTGAAAGAAAAGATGTCACTAGTCCATCCCTAAAGAAATTGTTTTCAAGCACCCAATCCATGCATAATTTGGAGCTAGTGAAATATGAAAAGATGTAAAAGGTATTATAAAGTTGCTGAGTGTTTGTGTGAGGTGAGGCAACAATGATGGGGTAAAAATAATCCAAATAAACATGAGAACCTCTGAGTGTAATATAGCTTTATGAAAGGCTGAAAATGTGCACTGCTCTCTGAAGAGTAGGAAAGAAATAAGAGGAGAAAAAGATGAGCCATTCCAGATGTCAGGGATGAAGGGAAGAAGTGAAGTAGGAGTATGCATGGTTATGTAGTGATAAAGTGAGACTACATGATTCTGGGATGCATAGAAAATTATAACAGATGGTCAGAGAGTAAAAATATTTTAAGTAAAGATAAGTAAACGCAGGGATTAACTTAATCCACTAGTAAATATATCCCCAGATTTATAGCTGAGAGCTACTGAACTTCAATCAATTTCAGAAATGTGCTTTCACTGCTTTACTGAGATGATGTGACTTTTATGCTTTTATGTTTCAGATTTGGTAACCAATCAATGAAGAGAGAAAACTTTACTCTCATCACTGACTTTGTTTTCCAAGGTTTCTCCAGCTTTCATGAGCAGCAGATCACCCTATTTGGGGTGTTTCTTGCTCTATACATCTTAACCCTAGCAGGCAATATCATCATCGTGACCATCATCCGAATTGATCATCATCTTCAAACACCCATGTACTTCTTCCTGAGCATGCTGTCCATTTCAGAGACTGTATACACACTGGTCGTTCTCCCAAGGATGCTCTCTAGCCTCGTAGGTATGAGCCAGCCCATATCATTAGCAGGTTGTGCCATGCAGATGTTCTTTTTCGTAATCTTTGGCATCACTAACTGCTTCCTGCTCACAGCAATGGGATATGACCGCTATGTGGCCATCTGCAACCCCCTGAGATATATGGTTATTATGAACAAGAGGGTGTGTACCCAGCTTGTTGTGGGGGCCTGCAGCATTGGGCTGATCGTAGCAATAACACAAGTGACATCTGTATTCCGATTACCCTTCTGTGCTAGAAAGGTGCCCCACTTCTTCTGTGACATCCGACCTGTGATGAAGCTCTCCTGCATTGACACCACTGTCAATGAAATCCTGACTTTGATTATCAGTGTGTTGGTGCTCGTTGTACCTATGGGTCTGGTTTTCATTTCTTATGTTCTTATTATCTCTACAATCCTCAAGATTGCTTCAGCTGAGGGCCGGAAGAAAGCTTTTGCCACTTGTGCCTCCCACCTCACTGTGGTCATTGTCCACTATGGCTGTGCCTCCATTGCCTACCTCAAGCCCAAATCAGAGAACACCAGAGATCAGGACCAGCTGATCTCAGTGACCTACACTGTCATCACCCCGCTACTGAACCCTGTGGTGTATACCCTGAGAAACAAAGAGGTCAAGGATGCTCTGTTCAGGGCTGTTGGTCAGAACTTTTCCTGACCATTTAGAAAGAGTTCTGCTGAGGCTGTCAACATCCACGCTAGGCAGGAATATGAGGTGTAAACTCACAAGCCCTTGGCTCCTAGAGACCTGCCCCTTAAATAAGACGCAAAAAGACAAATAACAGTTTCATACAACTGGGAGTCCAAAGCTTTAAATGAAGTTTCTGGATGGAGTGTTATCCCTGTTTTTGTGGATAAGAGACAAACAAAGATAAGACTTGCCTAAATAAAAGGTCAGAAAGTAGTGTGGGCTGAGAATTTTTTACTGACCTTTTGGTTTCTTTGCGAATCTCCACCTAATGAAGGCAATAGAAAGCCCCTTGAGAAAACAGAATCCAAGACACACTTAAAATTTTTTTTCCTACAACCCCTTTCTTCCTATGCTAGAGCACCAGGGCTTCTAAAACTGGATTCCCAGTTGGAGTCTGTTTACGACATGTCAAGTAATAAGTTACTGGGTGGATAGGGAGGGCGGCCTCAGGATTAGATCGCCCAGGAGAAATAGATTTTCTCTCCTGGATGTGTTAATTTATCCCAGATTCTAGCAAAACTGCTTATTAAAGATGGTGAGCATTGACAGTTTAATTAGAGATCCTGGCAATTCCATAGTCATCATGACAGTCTTTTGAGGGCACAATCTGAGATACTCCTGGGTCCTTTCAAATGTGGTTACTTCAGAAAACACACAATGGGCAAGAGCTATGAACTAGGCTCTGTGCTAGGTCCTGGAGAAATAAAGATAAAAAAGCTTTCTTGCCTGGCTCCAGGAAGCCACAAGTCTAGTGGCAAAAACAAGCATTTGACAGTATGGTTTCGGTTCTTTATGATAAGTGATATACACAAACAATTCGAGAAGAATTCAGAAAAGAAAAAAAGGGAAAGGGAAAGAAGAGAGACTGTTGGAGATGGCAGGGAAATCTTTAAAGAGGAGGGGACCTGCAATGTAAACCGGTTTTAAAACACAAGAGAATGTTTGAATGACAAGAAAGAATCCTGAAGACGAAAAACAATATAGCTACATGTATGAAAACAAAAGGAGTAATCAGGGAATGAAAAATGATTCAGTTGCACTGAAGTGGCAATTGAAGGAGATAAAACCAGAAGGGTAGTTTGGGATCATATCCTGAAGGCCTCCTATGCCAAATTAAGGAATTCCAGCTTTAACTGTTTTTGTTTTTTGTTTTTTAAATAGAGTCTTTTTTGTTGCCCAAGCTGGAGTTCAGTGGCATAATCTTGGCTCACTGCAACGTCTGCCTCCTGTGTTCAAGTTATTCTCCTGTCTCAGCCTCCTGAGTAGCTGGGATTACAGGTGTGCACCACCACACCCAGCTAATTTTTATATTTTTAGTAGAGATGGGATTTCTCCATGTTGGCCAGGCTGATCTCAAACTCCTTACCTCAGGTGATCTGCCCACCTCGGCGTCCCAAAGCGCTGGGAATGCAAGCATGAATCACGACACCTGGCCAGCTTTAACTTTCAAACCTGGAAATTACCCAGAACTTAGAAGAGCTAGGATTCAGATTGTGAAGCATCTATATGAATTCTTAACATACTTAGCTCCACCGAGATATCCAAAACCTGTATGGAGCAGAGGGCTATGGACTCCAAGCCAAAAAAACTCATGAGTAAAAAGAAAATGTGACTAAGGTATTGGGTGGAATACACAGAAATAATTATGTACTTAAGATGAAGCTGAATCGGACCATCAGAGAGAACATGGAGCAGAGGCTGTCCCAGGACTGTCATGTAGGTTTGGGGTTTGAGATGCAGATGAGCACCGAGGGAAGAAGGATTTGCTGTCAAATCAGTGACTAGGCTGGGCCTCAGGCCTGGTGGCAGTATAGTCTTAGGGCACACTTTCTGCTAGGCTGAAAGGGTGGACTCATTAATCAGAAAAGCCTTCAAACACAACAACAGCAACAACAACAAACACAGAGATCCAAAAGGCACATGTATCTGCATTCCATACTGTAATAGAACCATTAGGCCATTTCTCAGGATTAGCAAGGTTGATGGCAAAAATCAAACCATAGCTAAAGGTCTCTAAGAATATCATGAGGTGGCTAAAAGTAACTAAGACAAGTTAACTGACAAAAGAAAAAACAACTGAAAAATTAAAAGCAAAACATTGCTGGTAAAGATTTTGACAGGCATTCAATAAACATTCATGAAATGTTTGCCAGTCATTCAATAAGCATTCATAGAGCCTTTACTATGTGCCAGATACTATGCTAGACATAAAACAAAATCTTGAAATAAGCCCCGTACTATCCCTTAAATAGTTTCCAGTCTTGAAGGGGAGATGGGCTTATGCAGAGCTCACCATAATTCAATGTGATGGAGATATGGACAAAGTATGCTTAATATTTAATGACAAAAATGTAAGCCTTGGATTTTTTTTTCTGATCTATATAAAGCTAAATCTCATCAAGCCAAGAATGGACTTTGCATGTTGAAGTTCAATGAAATAAATGTCTGTTACCTTGATCTATGTGTAGGGCTATCTCCCAGGGCCAAAGGCTACGTAGCTCTTGCTGGGCATCACTCAGAAAATTTCATCACCATGGAATTTTAGAGCATTTATCACCCAGGTTTTTTAGGAACTGTGTTTGAACAGAATAGCTTAACAGTCAGGCATTATGGAATCAAATGTTTTCAACATTTCCTTTTCTGGAATTATTTTAGTCACCATTCATGTTCGGTATTACTGCTTTCATATTGTAGCCCCTTGCCACAAGACTATTTCCCAACCATTATCTTACTAGGTCCTCAGAACAATCTCAAGGGAGACAAGGATAAGGCTCTCATTATACAGACAATAAGACTAAGATAAATAAAGGAGTGAAGGCAGAACTTGAACTTGTACCAGTTGGCTGGCATTTTCTGTTTTCCTGGAATGTATCATCACCCAAAGGCAATTCACAGTGGAGATAGTGATGTACTAGAGAAATCAAACTAGGCAAAATTTACATTCTCTGGGGCCACAAATATTCCAAATGAAACCAAACCTCATCCCCAAGGCTTTTCCAAGAGAGGTCCTGTATAAAAGGACCACCTGGGACCCTTGCTCTAGCTAGTGGGGACTCACAGGAAAGAACATCTCCAGAACAGCACAAGCTGTAAAGTCTTATTCATGTAGAACCAGCTAAGATCTTAGGGAATATGAGTATCCCTTTTCTCCAATATTAAAGCAAATAATAGAAAAGCATTTAGAGATCCACAAGCAAACCTATCCCTTACTTAAACACAGTCAAGAATTCAGTAGACACTGTGTTGTGTTAGATCTGGAGCTAGATGCTGGGAATACAGTGGTCAATTATGCCAAGTATTTGGCCTGTGGACAGAGAGACTGCTACATACACATACATGCATGTATCTCACACACACACACACACACACACACACACGCTATGTTAATTTTTGGTAGACTGATGAATGCTAAACTAGAGCACATAAGGAAGAAAGCTTTAGTTCCAATTGATGTTTTTAAATTATAAATAAAGAATAATAAATTCAGATTCTTGGCCAGTCACCTGGCTCACCTCTCCTCAAGAACATATTAAAACCCATTAGCAGTAGAGAGACAGATCATGTAATAAAGGGATTTGAGATCCTTATGGTGGTGCATTACTCTTTTTTGGAAGGAGACCTCCAGCAACTCAAACTTTAAACTCTTATTTCTGCAGATGCCATCTAAGACTTTAGAAAGTATGAGTACCTCATTCACTGACTGCCTAGTAGAACTGAGGCTAGGATATGTCAAATGCTTTTGCAATATCCTGTTGGACACATGTTCCCTCCTCCCCAACAATCCATAGACATATATCTCTGAGATATCTGTAAGCCCAAAGGAAAACCTATGTACATGTACTGGATGGGGGTGGGGAGACACAATATAAATAACTTGAAGGCCTCTGAACTGAGATAGAGGTTAATGATTCACCTGCAAAGACCTCTTGAAATTGAGAGTCACAAAATTTAAGCGACTCACCCAGGAATAGAGAGTTAATGAATGAGAGCGCTAGGGCTTGAATTTAGTCTACTGAAGTTCAAGTATTCCCATTCCTTATGTTGTAGCTGCAAGAAGTGACTGGTAAAAATAGGCTCTTAACCAAAGTCCACCATGAGATCCTAGTATTCACTGAAAGGGAACTTTTGTACTTTAAACAAAGTAGATTAGGTTAACTAAATAGGAAGATCTATTTAATAGGATTTGAAAAACATAGAAAGAGTATACATTTTTCTTTGGTGATAGAACTTTCTTATCAAAGACTAGAAGTGGATGTTGCAGTTTTTAGACGTCACTCTTGAGGCTTTCAAGGATCCTCAAAATAGCTGCAGACTAGGCTATGCTCCTGCCAGAGGCTGGACTTTGTTCCTGTCTGCTAATTTGCCATCTGTAAGCTATCTCATTTTTTCCCCATTTGGCTTCTGGACCCCTAGTCTTAATAGCTCCTTCACTCTTGCTCTGAAAATGAGCTTACTCTAGCTTCTTATGGTCTGTGGACCATTAATGTGATCAGCACATACTTTATAAAGCATTTTCATTTGACCCTTGCCACACGTCTGTGATGTTGGTAGAGAAAATCTCATAGGCACTTTATCTGTTAGGAAACTGAGGCTCAGAGAAGAGATGGGTAACTCTCATAGGTAGTCAAAGTCACATAGCTGTTATTGTCAGAATTATTTAAATCCAGCTAGTTGCCCCAATCCACCCTATTGCACTGTTCTTCCTTGCTTAAGAGAAGTTCCTTTCATTTACTCTGCAGCAGCTGAGGCTTAGCTCTGGCATTCCTCCATCCTGATAACCCAACACTTCCGTATTTAAATATTTTCTGCCTTCTTTGGAACTGACACCAAAGCATGTCTTCAGGCATGTTATATTGTTTCATTATTGTGTCTCAGTTAGAGAGGAGTTTTCTAGCTGCTTCCATATTGTCTCAGCGTGCCTAAAAATAAGGGCTTACTTTTTTATACCACACTCCCACCCCCAATTTCTCTCTAATATTCCTCTTCTTCTCTTGTACTATTTCTACCCCTTCTATTCTAGAGGCTTTTATCTTTTTTCTTTGATCTTTCATGAGGGACTATTTATAAAGGTATTTGGGGTGGGGGAATTGCTAAGCCACTTCTGGATGATCAATAAACTTTCAGCTGATTGCTGTCAATAAACCTCACTAAACTGCAACAAGATGGACATTGTGTCTTGGATCCAAACTCTCAGAAAGTTTCCTGCA